TTTTAGTGACCTCTTGCTTTCTTCATGGATGATGCTCTTGATGTCATCCCACAATTCATCTGGTTTCCAGTCACTGGTGTTCAGTGCATCAAATCTATTCTTTAGATGGTCTCTAGATTCAGGAGGGATATATTCCAGATCATATTTTGGACCTCATGGACTTGTTTTAATTGTCTTTAACTTGAAATTGAACTTGCATATGAGCAGTTGATGGTCTGTTCCACAATCAGCTCCTGGCCTGGTTTTGGCTGAAGATATTGAGCTTCTCCACTGTGTCTTGCCACAGATGTAGTCCCTCTGATTCCTGTGTGTTCCATCTGGTGAAGTCCACGTGTACAGCCACCGTTTGTGTTGTTAAAAAAAAGTGTTTGCAATGAAAGTTGTTGGTTTTGTAAAATTCTACCATGTGAGTTCCAGCATTATTTCCATCACCAAGGCCAAATATTTTCCAACTACTGGTGATTCTTCTTTGTTTCCAACTTTTACATTCCAGTCACCAGTGATAATTAACACATCCTGATTGCAAGTTCGGACAATTTCAGACTGCAAAAGTTGATAAAAATCTTCAATTTCCTCATCTTTGGCTTTGGTGGTTGGTGCATAAATTTGAATAATAGTCATATTAATGGGTCTTCCTTGTATGCGTATGGATATTATCCTATCACTGACAGCATTGTACTTCAGGACAGATCTTGAAACCACCTTTGTGATGATGAATGCCATGTCATTCCTCCTTAAACTTTCATTTTATAATGATGCATTACTGACATGCAAGTCATTCACAAATAAGTTATTTTGGAAATTAAAATAAGGGCTAATTTTATCTTAGTTAGAGACGTTCTGCACCTCTTGCCTCATTTTGTTTTAGGAGATGTGCTAGCACATGCTTTCATTTGGACTCTGAGGATGCTGCTAGAAATCCTGCTTTAAATAAAGGTCTGGGAGCACTGACCATGTGCTTCAGTGAACACTGACTCCAATGTGTCCACAATTCTGACGAAGCAGAATTAGTCATTCCTAAAAAAATGGGACTCACTACATTTTCTCCTGCCTACCAAAGACACAGATCTCATGAAGAGAGATGGAAGTAGGCATTCTTTTGTTTAAAGATGGTCACTATAACACATTCCCACCTGAGTCATCATGTGTACACTTTGACCAGAGAATATAATCCCTCTCTTGGTTCCCCAGCGTCAGAGTGATCCCACTGGAGCAGCAGACGGGGGTCAGGGCAAGCAGCTTGGCTGCAGAAACAGAGTAACAGTCTCTCTCCTTTACTGCCCACCTTTGACTCAGCATCATGTGGTTGCAGGGGATCAGATACCTGGAACAACAGAAAAGAGCTTCATTAGTCTTGGGTAATGTCCTTTTCCTGTCAGCCCCCTCCTAAAGCATAATCAGGACTAGTCAGGCCCTACTCACTCTCAATGTGTCCATCCCACCCAGACACCAGGCTTTACTCACTGACTTAAACTTGTAAATGGTCTCTTTCTTCAGGCATAACCTCCTCTTAATAGAGTATTTAATGGCCTTTATAATTTGAACACCTTCATCTCTGAAACTACCTGCTATTCCTCTTTGCCTCCATGGCTTTGCGCTCATTATAAGCTGAACCTGAAATGTCTGACAAATGCCTTGTCATTCTTAAAAGTCCAGCTTCAGTGTCACCCTTTCTGGGAAGATTTCCTGGCCCCGTACTCCAACACGGAGCTAATCTCACCACAATGTTCATAACCTTCTAATAAAGCACCATCACCTTATATCACAATTTCATCAGTTGGCCTCCTCAAAACATGTACTATCAGAACAAGGAGCCTACTTCAACAGTTTTGCTGTATAATCCCAGGAACTCTGGCTCATAGTGGGCACTGAATGACCATGGTTGGATGAAAAGCTAAGAATCACGTCTCATATTGACACAGGTGATCATGAGACGATATGGTTGTGATCAAGGGCTCACTGATGAGCACTGGGCCCATTTCATACAAAACACTTTTGGTTGGTGATCAAAAGCATCTCAGTAACATTATGAGCCTGGAGACCAGAAAATCTGGGTAATCATGTCTGACACTCCTGGAGCACATCAGTGGACTTCATGGACTGAATAAAGTGTGTTTACATGACAACTTCTTATTTTTTTTACTTGTGATTTGGATGAAGATTTACAGAGCAAATTCACTTCCCATACAGCAGTTCACATATACTTTGTCTCATGTCATTGACCAGATTTACCACAATGCAACAGATCCCCTCCCCCTTCCTCCCCATGGTTACCTCTTCCCAGTGTCCATCCCTCCATGCACTCCTGTCCCCTGAGCTGTCTCCCTGTGCATAAGCAGCCCTTCTTTCTCCCATGATTGTTCTCTCCAAGGAGTGTATCTATTAAGGTAAATGTTCAACTCATATGCCTGTATTTTGTTTGGCTGGAAATCACAGGTTTGGGTTCAATTCCAGACCTGAAGGGCAGCTAGGGGCCATAGTCTCAGTGGTTCTACCAGGCTCTATTGGACCAGCAAACCTGGTCCCCACCTTTTTTTTTTTTTTTTCTCCAAATGATTTTGAGTTTTGTTCCACATTGTTCTCCCTCTCTATCAAGGATCTCCTACATAGATCCCCTTCCAAGTGGATGACAGTGGTAGCCGGGCACCATCTAGTTCTTCTGGTCTCATAGTTGTATAGGATGCAGATCAGATGGTGTACCAATTGCCAGGACTAACTGTTTCCATGAATTTTGGTTTTCTTCATTCTTCTTTGCTCTGGACGAGGAGAGACCCATCATTGCATCTAGAGGCAGCTTGCTAGCTTTTAAGATCCCAGTCACTACTCACCAAAGTAGAAGGTGGAACAATGTTTTATACAGTATGTTATGCCAATTGAGCTTGATGTCCCCTGCGACTATGGTCCCAAGTCCACAAGTTCAACTACTTGGTCACTCTCGGTAGCTGGCTGTGACCAAGCAGTGACCACAACCTTGCCCCTTGTCAGTTCTACTATACGCCTGAGAATTCTGATCATTCACATAAACTTATAGGACCATTGTCTGCCAACCCTATATATGATCTTGGATACACTCCCCATTTCATAGACATATCTAATCGTTTAGCCTGTCCAATCATCTATCCATCCATATACCCATGTTTTCCTTCACTGACAACTCAGTACTGTATGTGCAAAGGGTTCATCTTTGTTGTCTCTACCTCCCATGTACCTCTCTATGTCTTTCTCATCCTCAATGCTGCCATATTGGTCACTTACATTTGGTACATTGCCCTTCTCTTCACCTAAATCAATACTTATCTCTACCTATCTAACAGCCTTCCCTCCCCTCCCCTCCCACCCCTAGTAACCAACAAAGAAAATTTCCCTCTATAGATAAACCTTTCTTTAACTTTTATAATAACGGACTAATATATTTGTCCTTTTGCGCTTGACTTATGTCACTCAGCATAATGTCCTCCAAGTTCATCCCCATCATACCGTGTTTTGCAGATTCTACATTATTCTTTAGGGTTGCATAGTATTCCATTGTGTATATGTACCATAGTTTGGTTAACCATTCCTCAGTTGATGGACACCTAGGTTGTTTCCATCTTTTGCCTATTATAAATGTTGTTGTTGTTATGTGCCGTCGAGTTGGCCATATCCCTAAAGAATGTCCATGGGATCTGGATTGGATTGCATTGAATGTATAGATTGCTTTGGGTAGAACTGACATTTTCACAATGTTCAATGTTCCTGTCCATGCACATGGGATGTTCTTCCATTTATGTAGATCTCTTATGGTTTCTTGAAGTTTTTTATAGTTTTCTTTGTACAGGTCTTTTGTGTCCCTGGTAACATTTATTCCCAAGTATTTTATTTTTCTGGTAGCTATTGAAAACGGCATTGATTTTCTTATTTCTTTTTCAGCAATCTCTTTGCTGGTGTAGAGGAATCCAACTGATTTTTGGATGTTGATCTTATATCCTGC